CAGCTCTCTAGGCCTTACGGTTTGGTCTGCATGATCAGTTTTAGCGGAGAAAAATAATAATAATACAAAAAATCCTAACAATTACAATAGGGTTTCAGCACTGGAGAGACCTAAAAATGGCTGTCCACCAACGTTTACCATCCAACCTGACAGAACTGGAGAGGATCTGCAAGGAGGATTGGCAGAGGATCCCCAAATCCAGGTGTGAAAAACTTGTTGCATCTTTCCCAAAAAGACTCATGGCTGTATTAGATCAAAAGGGTGCTTCTACTAAATACTGAGCAAAGGGTCTGAATACTTAGGACCATGTGATATTTCAGTTTTTCTTTTTTAATAAATCTGCAAAAATGTCAACGATTCTGTGTTTTTCTGTCAATATGGGGTGCTGTGTGTACATTAATGAGGAAAAAAAATTAACTTAAATGATTTTAGCAAATGGCTGCAATATAACAAAGAGTGAAAAATTTAAGGGGGTCTGAATACTTTCCGTACCCACTGTATATATCGAAGTGGTGGTGGGCTGCCTGGACCAAAAAATGCCAGGGCCGATTTTTTGTCCCAGTCCAGCCCTGCACACTATGCGCAGTCCCTCATTATAATAGGAAACCAAGTCATCCGGAGTAGAAAAGCCATCTCTCCTGAAGAAATTGTCAAGTCCATCAGAAAGAGCAGATGGATCAATGTTCTTAATATTCCGAAATGAGATGGAATGACCCATGTTGATTTTTTTCTACCATTTAGTTAACACTGAATGATAATAACTTATGATCTGATATGGGCAAGTCCAATGCAAGACAGTTTGAAGGTGTTACACCCAAGCAGCAGATAAGGTCAAAAATATGACCTTTACAATGAGTTGGAATACAACGAATTGTTGTATTCCAAAACTATCAAGGCATGACATAAAATCCCTGGTGAGAATGTTATTGACATTATCCATGTGTATATTAAAATCACCCAATATAATGACATTGTGAGATGCAGAACTCAGTAAAGCCTATTTTAAGTACTCAGTATTGCTCCTGGGTGGACAATAAACAGTGGCTACAACAGGCCCGTTAATTTGTAAAACTGGACTCAAATGATTCAAACAGAGGCATGGATATTGCACATAAGGTAGTTTTCCTTATAACTTGTCTTCATGACAGATATATTATTAAAAGTAAATAAGCTCCACTAGGTTTTTATTTATAGCTAGCTTACCGACTAGGAACACTGGATAATGTTCCTGAGGTAAATGCAGTGTTAAGTGACATTGTTCACAAGCTATTTATTGATGTCTTTCTCTGTTTAAAACATTGATCGAGACATTTTCTACACACAAGTTGCACATTTTACACGTTTTTCCACCACTTTTGATTTACAGGATATAATCGGCTCTGATTGTTTGCTGTTTTTAAACAATCGGCCATCTAGTGCAGATGCTTTTATCGGCCAATACATCAGTGCATCCCTATTGAAATTTTTCTTTTTAACATTGGATTTTGCAGTATTTATAGCAAAGTTTCACTTTGCTTGACCATACATAAAAATTGCAAAATATCGTTTCTGGAACAAAATAGTTCCAGAATGCAATACTTTGATTTATATATATATATTTGTGTGTGTGTGTGTGTTTTCATTGTGTTCAAGGTTAACGTTTTCTCTCGGAGAAGGTGTCAATCTGGCAGTCGGCGTGTATGTGTTGGCCAGGACTGCCACCAAACCTCCTGCTGTCAGACTTTACAGAGATACGAATGAACCAGTGCGCACTAAAACCCGTTACTTCCACGCCCATAATGGGGGCATACTTTTGCCAAACGATATGAAGAGGGCACAGGTAAGGCACTAGATGTCACCTCAAATCAAAATCAAAACTATCACAAAGCTATACTGTAAATTGCTGTTTGTGTCCCTTTTATCTTAAAGTTAACATACTTTCTTATCATACTAAATTTACTACTTACTATGAAGGTTTATGGGAAGAAACAGATTGTGATGGAAAAGGATGAGGTGGATGAGATTAAGAAGTTTGATGATCCAGGTTTGGTTCTGATGGGGTTTAAGCCCATGGAGCGCCTCAAACTGCACCATCATATACGGCCCGCACTCTTCATATACCCTGAGGAAGAGCAGATATCAGGCAGGTCTTCATTTGTTGATGTCTTGAGCCGAAGCACCTCTTTCAGTTCAATCCAAGTGTTTTCGTAACTGATTATTTTCACATTTTTGAAAGCTGATGTGCAGTTCCTTATTTCTTTCTTTTGTTTGCCGTAGGAAGCTCCTGTATGTTTACAACTCTGCTTTTGAAGTGCAGTGAAAAAAATGTATTTGCATTGTGCAGATACATCCCTCGCCGTAACACTCCACCTCGGTTTGTGGCACTTGTTCCCCAGAGAGAAGAACTTGATCAGAGTCAAACCCAGGCAACACCTCCAGGTAACTGCAATCAAGACTGAACAATTTTCATTTACACTGAACATGTTACTTTCAACTGTATGGCTAATTGATTTTTTAAATGTATATGAAATTGTGGGATCCTATATTTTAGGCTTCCGTGTGATATTTCTTCCCTTTGCTGATGACATACGCACTGTGGATGCTCACGTGGGTCCCACAGCCTCTGATGAGCAGGTGGACAAGATGAAAGAGATTGTGCACAAGCTCCGGTTTAAATACAGGTGTGTGGGTTTTTTTTACAGGTTTTGCATGATGCATTCTTCAATCATGGGGTTTTAGTTGATTTGTACTGCAAATCTTATGTTTTCACAGGAGTGATGCATTTGAAAACCCAATGCTACAACAGCACTACAGGAACCTGGAGGCTTTGGCTCTGGATATGCTTGCACCTGAGCCCATTGAGGATTTAACAAGTATTTCTTATGTTCTGAAATGTTTTTTAATGGTAATTGTTCTTTTTTTTTATTCTATTACTGTCTCACACTCTATATGCTCCCTCAGTGCCCAAGGTACAAATGATGGATGATCGTCTTGGCCCACTGGTTCAAGAGTTCAAAGATTTAGTCTATCCTCCTGATTATAACCCAGAAGGGAAGCCTGCGGCTAAACGCAAACCTGGTGAGATTTCAGATGATATTGTATTAATATAAAGCATGAATCAGGGATGTAATTTTTTATTTAAGCTGATAAAAAAAAAGATTTGTAAAAAACGGAAACTAAGAAGTATGACCCATGTGAATTGCTTAAATCAGTTTTTTTTTTTTTAACGCTACATTTTCAAATACATTTATTTCTTGTATGGATAGTTTCCGACAGAACTGCACGAGCTAGTGGTGCCATCGAACTGCTCCGTGCAAAACGCCCTTCGAATCTAACGGTCCACAATTAACAAATCAGTGTTGTACAAGTCATGCTGTGACATCTGGCCACTGCATGTCTCAAAATGAAGCATGGCACTGTGTTCATTTACAAGCAAGCAGCCCATGATCCAGTGTTTTTAGTGTCTCTGAGAGGTTCCACATGAATTCCATCTCTGCAAGCGCTGGGTCGCTTATAATATTTGAAAATGCAACACGTGCCAAGAATATTCCCAAATTTGTTATGAGAATAATTTATAAATCTGTCAATAAAAAAAAGAAGTTGTAGGGTTTCTGTACTGTACTGTAATTTTACTGTTCTGTAAAATAAAAAAAATTCAAATATGAAATACTCATATCATGATACTTGCTTATTTTACAGTACAGTAGCATTCATTCAGCAGTAATGTATTTCTTTATTGATTTATTTTTTGTATGTATAAATTAATAATAATTATGTAGTCATATTGAATGGGGAAAAAACAGAGCAGCATGGTTCAGTAAGCATTGGAAATTACTTCCATAGATTGGCTGTCCTGTTTTAGTAACAGTGCCACTACATTCAGAAATGTTGGCACTTGGCAGTAACAGAATCTTGACTTAAATTGTCTCTTCCTTTTGCCCAGCTGAATCTGGTGGTGGTGGAGCTGAAAAAAAGCCAAAAGTTGAGATGTCAGAGGAAGAGCTGAAAAACCATGTGGAAAAGGGCACCTTGGGAAAACTGACAGTGCCTGTGCTAAAAGATGCATGCAGGCAGTTTGGAATACGTACAACAGGAACCAAGAAACAGGAGCTTATAGATGCCCTGACCATGCAGTTCTCCAAATAAAAGTTCTTAAGGCCTTGGCAATATTTTTTTTGGGGGGGGGGGGGACACCTTTACGCCTTGATTACATACTTGTTCATAGAATAAATACAGAAAGATTTCTATTTCTGTTCTAATTGAAAATTCTGTTCAGGATTGTTACTGTTGTCATAATTGATGTAATAAAAGCTTGAATTTTGTAGTTTTGACAGTAGCATTAACGTCATTATTTCACCTCATTTGCTTGCTATTCTTTAAACATTTGCTCTCTATTCCTCATTTTTTCTTAAGCCTCACCAGCACTGGCATGATTTAATATATGACAGTAAAGGAGGTCATTTAATCAAACACCTTGAAACACTTTGGTTTAACTTGAATTAGTATGAAAACTTTTCTTAATGTTGTCCATTGATACTTTGGAGGTTGGTCATGTAGATTACAGAATTCATGCCTGCTAAATTGAATGCCTATCCTGAATGTAATTCTACAAATCCATTCTTGCATGTATGTTTAGTGAACATTTTGGTTCAGTAACTAGTTTAATACTCTCAGCAACTTTAAACCTATTTTAAATCCATTCCACTGATTTTACTTCAAAATCAGTGTAGAAATTGTGGGAAGAAAAATACAGATTCTATCTCCAGCCTAGGTATGAGAAAATATCTGATACTTATTTTGTTATACAACTAATAAGCAGTTTACTAGTTTGTGGGTTTCCAGAACTTCTGGAATGAAGTAATCAGGCATTGTCATTTGTTTTCTCATTAGCACGATTATACAGACCCTACACACACACACAAAAAGGAACATTAATGTCTCCAAAAAGAAATAAGGCTCTTACTAATTTTCTCATGTGGGCGACCGAGACGTGCTCGTGACGCAAGCCAGCGGAAAGCCTATGACGTTTTGCGCATGCTCACGTTGAGCCAGAGAGCTGTAAGGAAAAACTACAAGAGACGAAGGAATAAACAACTCGAGTGGACGCGAAAACGCCAAGTTAGAGGAACGAAAGCAGCCCAGACTGTAACATACTGTATAGAGACAGAGGTAAGTGCTAGGAAGGAGTAGACTGACCATTTGAAAGGTGTCGTTTTATCCGTTGCTATCAAACGAGTAGCACATAGCCAGAGTGTCAAATTGGTCTGAACGCAGTAGTTAAGAAGCCCAAACAGAAATATGGCATGTCTTAAGATGTCTTGTTAAACTTGTGTACGAAGTGTTAAATATCGTTTCTGTCCGTGAATAAGTCATAAACACCCGTCCAGTCAGCTGGCAGGAAGTTTTGTACAGCCATTCCCAATGCAGTCATCCTTGGCACAACTGCACATTAGCCTTATAGGTATCAAAAGCGTGTTTACACTTGCCACTCGTTTAAACGCTAATTAATGTACTGTATTTTTTGTTCTCAAATTAGCTGATTTATAATCACTCTCTTGTGTTTCTTTCTTACTCTAAAGCCAAGGTTATCTCTGCAGTTCTCGCGGTGGTCTACTATGGCAGTTGCCAGGGTCCTGCACTGCTGACCCATTTAGTCCAAGTCAGCTGTACAAGTCATGCTGTAAGTCTTTTCCACCCTGATGTCGGCCAAAATGGAAAGAACTGCTCTGCCCTAGTGGTTTCTATGGTGCTAGGCAAGTCTTTGTGCAACAACAACATGAAGAACACAGAAAGAGGACACAATCGAATCTGCTTCTGAGAAGATACATCGGTTTCCACTTGTGGTTTTGTTCTTTTCACTGATTCACTGCAAGGTGCACTGGCTCACCTTTCACTCCAGTAGCTACCTCCCCTCCCCTTGCCACTCATCTCGAGCAGCTGAGAGGTTGCTGTGGAGATGATAGTGGTGACATAGCAGCAGGAATGGGGAGTACTCCATGTTCTGGTAAGGGGAGGGGGGTCGGGGGTTTTCAGGAGCTGGGCTGTATGCCATGGAAAGTCAGCAAGCAGAAAGGAGAAGTCGTCGGTGGACGTGGGTCCGAGCTGGAGGATAGGCCTAATGCTGGAACGCCCCCCACCTCGTCACAACCTCCTGCCATTTATCACGAAAAGCAGCATCGGGAGCTGTGCGCTCTGCACGCCCTAAACAATGTCTTCCAGGACGGAGCGGCATTCAGCCGTGATGCACTTCAGGACATCTACCAGAGGTCAGTGCTAAGATTATGTATTGTTACTGAAGTGATCTAGTTTTGGATTTTTTTTTTTTTTGGGCACACTTCTGCATCCTCTTTCTTTTTCAGGCTCTCCCCTAGCACATTGGTCACGCCCCACAAGAAAAACATGCTGGGAAATGGCAACTATGATGTGAACGTCATCATGGCTGCATTGCAGACTCGTGGGTTTGAGGCTGTTTGGTGGGACAAGAGAAGGTATTTTATTATGCTGTTGTAGTTTTAAGTCCTTCAAAAATTTAGTTTAAAACGTGGCAAACTCTTAGAAATGTGCTTTTTGAATTCATGTTTGTTTCATATGGTTTCGAAAAATGTACATATCTTAAAGTCAGCATGATATAGAAATTACAGAAGTTTTCTTTTGTATTGTAATGTATAGCCAAGTAAAACAGTAAACTGTAGGGAGGGACTTGATTTTGTCCACTGGAAATTGTTTTGATCGTTTGATCATTGTCGTTTGCAAATTGCTGCAGTCTCGTGTGAGTGACGGGTCACTGGATGGGATGGATTATTGTCCCGTCCTCACACTGGTGCACACTGGATACATTATTAATAATGATCACAGCAATATAAAAAATAGAATTGTGAATTTTGAGTTCATGGGAACTTTAATCACTTTCAAAAAAATGTTTAAAAATGTTTTTCAAGATTGTTTTAGGATTAGTTTTTTCAGGATTATTTTTTTAAATATCTTTGGCCACAGCACATATTTTATAGCCTGAACTAACCTGCCTTGTGATAAAAGGTCAAGTTATTTGATATTTTAAGAAACGTATTGACCTTTACACACAGTTATGAGGGTCTGCCATGTTTCTCTATAATATAATTTCCTGTTTTATTTACCACATTACTTAACTTTGGCAGACAAAAAGTTTTTGAGATGTTAAGTTAAAGCTCTTCTGTTAATTAAAGGAGGATTCAAATTAAGCCTTTTTTTAACATCTAACTTTATTAGATCCTTTTTTACATCTACTTTTCCAGAATTTCTTTTAATGAGGGTTTTTTCATTATGATACCAAGTCTGTTGTATCACCCATTTTATGAACACAAAAATATAGGGATAGTCCACCCTAAAATTAAATGCATACAGGTCATTCCAAACCTGTATGCATTTCTTTCATCTGCAGAACATAAATGAAGATATTTTTTAACATTGAATGGGAATCGAAACTGTTTGGTTACCAACATTCTGCAAAATATATTTTTATGTTCCACAGAAGAAAGTCACACAAGTTTGGTGAGTGTGAGTAAATGATGACAGAATTTAATTTTTGGGGTGGACTATCCTTTTAAATTTACACCCCAGAAATTAAAGGGGTCATATGATGTTGCTAAAAAGAACATTTTGTGTATTTGGTGTAATGAAATGTGTTTATGCGGTCTAACGTTAAAAAAAACATTATTTTCCACATACTGTACATTGTTTCTCCTCTATGCCCCGCCTTTCTGAAACGCGTCGATTTTTACAAAGCTC